CATGTCAAAGGGACGCCTGGATCGTCAGCGGCGGGGGATCCTTCATCAGCACTTGGGAAATCATGCCCGCAAGTGGCGTCGGCTCAGACTCCAAAGCTATCTTCAAGAACCACGGTTTGCTCATATAATTCCGAATCCTGGCAGAGCAAATTCGCATCACCAACAAACCGCGAGTCGCTGTCGTACGACTTACCCGTCTGGAAGCAACACGACGACATTCAAGCCCTGCGTATCTGCGATCTTGCGCCCTACATCACTGCGTAACCAACGCAGCGCACCGCTCAACGCACTACCGCTACTCCCACCGACCAAAAGGCCCTCTTCTCGCATGATCGTCTTAACGGCTGCAAACGCCTCCTCATCTGACGTCTTGATCCAACAATCGACTTCGTCACGAGCCAAGACATCAGGAATGAAGTCGTAGCCAATACCCTCAACAATATACGGCGCTCCAGCCTCGGCTTTGTTCAACTCATCCGGGAGAGCAAGGATGCTTCCGTGCTATTGCATTCAGTTGGCGATGAAATGCGGCGCGAGATAGTGCGATATCGACTTACGGGATCAACACCAACGACGACGCAGTCCTTGTTATGAGTCTTCTTGACAGCACGGGATATCCCAGTGACGGTCCCACCGGTCCCAGCGCCAGCAACAACCACATCGACCTTCCCAGATGACGGTCTGGTCGGCGTTGAAGGCGTGGATACGACAGCTTCGATAATCTCAGGTCCGGTGGTGTACTCATGCGCAAGCGGGTTGTTCACCTAAACATCTATCCGCGTGAATTCCGTCCGATCGAGGACACGCTAAACCAACTGACGTTTCCGTACTGATCCAAGATAATAGCATGTGGAATTTTTTGTTGCAATTTCCGAGCGACTCCTACAATCGTTGAGGAATTCAGCCACGAGACTCCCATCGAGTCAAATTGGTATTCTACCTATGTGGCTTGCGGGCGAATCCCACGCGGCTTCGGTGGGGGTACGAATGACCTCTGCGCCCAAAGCGCGGAGTGCCGCTTCCTTCTCCTGCAAATGGGGTCAGATGAAGCAAAATGATCTGCGGAAAAAGTGGCCATCATACAAGTGACATCTTATCAGGCAGCGTGATTATGACGGAATACCCCTTATCTGTCGTATTCAGTGCCCATTCTGGCAAGTGCATCAGCGGTCAACAGACCTTGATAGCACAAGCCATAGCCAGTCCAATACCTAGAGCATATACATGAGGACGCGGGGAGACGTCAAGAGGCTCGACACGTACCAGTGTTACCGGAAGTTGGTTCGATGACGACACTCTTGCCGGGGATCAACTTTCCTTCCATTTCCGCTGCCTCGACCATCGCTTTCGCAATACGGTCCTTGACAGACCCGCCGGCAGACATATACTCGACTTTCCCAACTATGCACAGATGAATGTTCCTGGTTTTCTGAATGGAGTAGTCAAAGCGTGACTTACGAAGGTTACACTTGAGCCCATTCAGCCTCGCGATCTTGTCGAGCCGAATGAGGGGCGTGTGACCAACGGCGCTGAGGGCGTTTTCTAATATCTGAGGCATCTCGTTGTGGGCGGAAAGGTAAAAACGTGTTCTCGGACACTGTGTCTGACCTTTTATCATCACTCGCGGAGAAGGCCGACCGGATCCTGGATGCGGCGTGACGGCCTGAAGAATAGAGGCCGTCGACTCGGAATCTTATCCGGCGTCAGCATGCTTGTATGTGCGCTGTATCGCGCGTATCAAGCGTCTTTTTGGTTCAAAGATAGCTCATCTTAGTGGGTGGTCCGATGTTGTAGCGGATGCGAATACAATCTAGATGAGGTAGTATCGAGACATTACAAGTCCCTATCGATTAGTGGTTAAATCATCTCGTTGTGGCAATGCGCGCGCTCCGAGAAGCCGCAGGCTCGAATCCTGCTAGGGACAATTTATTTTGGTCATGCGAATAACCTTTTTTTTGCGGCAAGTAATGTCAATGATATCAATGAGTACTGCGGAATTGCAGCAGAATAAGAATAAGTACATCAGAACGTGATGTAGAGTCCCACATTCTACGATAAAAATACATCTGTTATTCTTTCGTCTGCATACAACAGCTAGTGTTTCTTTAACATTTCGGTATACAAAGGCCAGGGTTTCCCCATCCAGGTCATGAGCTCCGTGTGGTCCTTGAAAGGATCGTCGGTGTTAGGATGTATGAGCACCCTGATCACGCGGAGAAGCAATTGTCAGCATCAATGCTGAAAGATAGACGAGATTATACGCAATAGAAATGGAATACTGAGCACATGGTGTATTGTCAAAATCAAATTCCAGCTGTTGGCCGCTCATGTGCTGATGCACGAAGCGCGCAAGATGGATAAAATTAAATGACGTACGAGCACGGCCCTCGGTGGACGGTGAGCCAAGAAAAGAAAGCGCCCGTCTGATGGGGCGTGAAAGTGTTGACCTCGAACATGGCAGTGGGGTGGGGTCCTGGACTGCTCAGCAAGATAAGATTACGAAGCAAAGCCTTCCTCACCAACAGGCTTTTCCCAGAGTTTGTATATGCGCAGCTACGACACGGTGAGGGTGCTTCGCATCAGAACCAGAGAGGCTTGCCTCGGGAAACTCTTTCCTGATGCGCTCGTGCAATTCGCGCGCGAACGTCATCTCGCTTGGGACGTTATGCATGTAGTAGACTTGGCAGGGGCATGGGACTGGAGGGCAGATGTGAGAGGGAAGCGCTCACTGTGAAAGTCAAAGCCATTGTTGGACGAGTCGATTGGGTAGGGGAATTGGTCATAGGCAGGGGATCTGGCGTCTGCAGGGGCGTTGACGAGGGGCGGGTTGGACATGGATGCAAAGATGACAAAATAAGGAATAATGCGCATCAATAAACATGACATTACCCGTGGTCAGTTTGCGGCGTCTCGTTTTAGCCCATGAGATCAAAATCCACCAATAGCTGGGTCGCGAGAACTCACCGAGACTCCTCAGTCCTGTCCGATCATTCTCATCAGCTGCCTCTCACTCCCACATTCCTCGCTCCCCGTCCCGCCCCCCTTCCTCCAAAATCTCCCTTCAAGTCCCTCTTCCGCAGGCACGACAGAGCCCCCTCCATCCGCTCTGCCCACTCCTCTTCTTCTTCCCACACCCACGCCCTCCCCCCAATGCCCGCAGCCCCCATCCCCGTCGTCTCCGTCAGGGACCACGACGACGAGGCAGAGTGCCCCGTCTGCCTCGAGCCCCTCAGCTTCAGCTTTCGTCTCCCAGGCGAAAAGCCGCACATCGTCCCCGAGTGCGGCCATGCCCTTCACGAGGTGTGAAATCTCCACTTATCTCCATTGCTTCCCTCATCAGCGCCCGCAGGCCTGCTTCACCGCCGTATATGGCCCTCCCCCCAACCAGGCCCGCTCCACTGTCCCGAGGAGGACCAATCTCGGCGTTTGCGGCGTGTGCAGGCGTCCCATGAAGGTCGGCGATGGGGACGGAGGAAAATCTAACAGTCTGTCTGTTTCCTTTCTTTGTCCCCTCTGGCTCTTATTCGCGTCCAGAACTTGCTGCACTCACAGGCATGGGAAACAGTAAATCCGCTTCGCTCTATCCAGGTCGTGATGCCCCAACAAACGCCCGCGCCGCTGCTCCGTACAATCCAAACGACGACGATCCTTTGGATTCGATCGTTCCCGCCAGATCGGGCCCCACTAATGGCGACCATTCCCCTTACATCGTTGCCCCATCAATCCAGGTCCGACCAGAATTTTCATCTCTAACGAGGACCAATGATCAGAATCAGCCTCTGACTTGTATCGTCGTTATCGAACTGCCTGGTAAACGGGTCGCTGGGAGCACACCAGGTCCTGTCATGAATGACAATTATCCCCGGAGCGCTGGCCTTCATCCTCCACGAGAACCTCGTTCTGCTCACTCGAGTCCACACCGCGACCACTCACGACAACGTCAACAACAGCATAATGGAGAACGCGTCCCAAGCCCATACCCCACGGCACCTGATCCATATACCTCATCGTCCGGACAATACGACCAAAACTCATACCCCGCTGCGTCTGATTCGCATGCTTCCTCATCCACCGCACATGACTCGTTTATACCCAACAACTCCGTTCATCACGAAGAAGATTCTCCGTTTCATGCTATCACGGAGGACCTCAGGAATCGTATCATCGACTGGAAAGGGCATCCTCTATCGGACCTCGGTCCGTTGCAAATGTACGATCTATTGTCCGTTCGACGCGACACGGCAATCCGCGAGTTCTATGTGTACCTTTTTCGAGAAGCCATCATCTGTGTCGTCGAGGAGAAAAAACGTGGTCTCGGCCGATTACTCTCCAATGCGTCTGGTTTCACAGATCCTGGTTCCCTGACGTCCAACTCCAGTCAGTCAAAGGGCGTCTTGCGGTTGAAGGGGCGCATATATGTCCGTCACATCAAGCACGTCACTGCAAGTTCCGCTGCTGGAGAGATGAGTCTCACGATTGATATGGAAGACGAGCTTGCGTCCTTCATACTCATTTTCAGGGACCGGCCGTCTATGGATGCCTGGAAGACAAACATTGAAGCACTCGTCAAAATGTTCCAGCAGCAGAATACTATTGTCCATCCCCAGCCAAATGTCAGAGTACCCGATATGGAGGAGTTTGGTGGGAGTCAGAAGGCTATGCGGGTGTTGAGTGGTGGTAGCACGCAAACATCGGTTAGTACGACCGACAGCCTTTTGAATGGCTCATCTCGGTCCACCCTCTCCTCTTCCACTTCACATGGCTCAACGCCTCAACGGCATCAGATGAACAACAACAAACTTACGACGCTCGCTGAAGACGATCAACTCAGCACTTACGACTCCCCGACATCGCTTGTCACCCCTTACACGTCTTCAGGACCATCCAACTCCTTGACACCTCTCCCCCACCCGCCTTTGGATCTCATTCTCGTGATTTCTATTCCACCACCGTCAGCTGTGCCCAGCACTGCTCAATTGAAGATTCGTGTAATTCGCGCCACCTTTGACTTTATTCTTGCATCCATGGCCAAGAAGGACCGACTAAGTTTGGTCACATTCGAGGTCGGTCCTTCGGGTAGAGTGAGGAAGACGCCGTTTTTGAGTCCGGGAAAAGCTCCGAGCCGAGCACGACTGGAAAAATTCATCGACGAGACCGGAGCGAAGATGGAAGATCAATTTGATGAGTTCCTCGTCAGGGGTTCCAAGGAAGAAAAAACCGATGTCGTCACTGCAGTTAATCATGGTTAGTCCAGGCGTTGATGTTCTTGTAAACCACGGTCGACCTGACTATCGTCTATTCGATTTCAGGTCTTGATGTTGTTTTACAACGGAAAGCGCGCAACCCTATATCGGGCATGATCCTTGTCAGTGATGCCTCTGACAGCACTCGTCGAGCCCAAATGGATCTCGTTCTTGCTCGCGCCGAGGCCGCCAACGTGCCGATACACTCGTTCGGCTACGGTCGCTCACATGATCCTGCCTCATTGTGGCTCATGTCGAACCATACAAGTGGAACATACACCTTTGTACAGGACTGGTATGATCTCCGCGACTGCATCGCCGGTTGTGTCGGTGGAATGATGTCAATCGGGCTTCTTAACATGAAGATGCATATTAAAGTCGTTGACGGGCATCGTTTCAAGATCCGCAAGGTATCTGGTGGCCCGTCGTCGATTCTTGCGTCAGACGGCCAGAACGTCGATATCGATGTTGGGGAGCTGCGGTACGGCGAGCGTAAAGAGATGCTCATCGAGATGGAGCTGGACAACGCGGACGCGCAACAGGCGGCTCAAACCCGCCGACCACTCAACGCACGTGCGATGAATGCCACTGACCAATTTGTGCAAAGCATGGGCCTTGATTCGTTGTCTATCGAGGACAGCGATTTTACAGATGGAATGATGGATCGCATGATCGACGAGGTGCCAGTTATCGAGGTGGATGGTGCCTTTTTCGATCCTGCCGCTGCCAAGACCGTGACACGCCTCGCCCATCCCGTCCTACTTACCGTAACCCTCCTGCCCATGTCAAACGGCTCAAGACCGCCTTCGGCCATCTCTGATCCTGTCATCGTCCGGCGGCGGATGGAGCTGCTTGCTTCTGATATGATCACACGCTCACTCGTGCTCGTCTCGAGACGGAACTTCCCGCAGGCGCAAAAGATCATGGGGGAGACGAAGCGTATTCTGCAGACTGTGCTTCAGACGATATCACGGTCGCTTCCGCCGCCGCAGGATCCGAGCAGTAATGGGAGCACCGTCCGGAATCGCAGGGAACTCCTGACGCTCGCGGCTGTTCGCGCGATGCAGGCGATTCTGCATGATTTGCAGTCGCTTTCGGAAGCTCTGGAAGATAATGTCGAGCTCTTTGCGCATGACCAGCGGAACTTTGGTGCACAGCAGGTACGTCATTGATCTGTGCTATCTGTTTTTTGCGTGTGCTTATCAGTTGCTCTAGGCTATGATACTGCGCGACCAAAAGGCGTGGAGTGGGCGCAGTGCTACTGAACGCCTGTTTTGGACGACAGATAATTCAATCGAGCTGGTCTCGCGCAGTACTGACTGGGTTGCCCGCGAATAAAATCAAGACTCCTCTCCCTTCTCATGCCCTGTCTAATGCTTGCTATATATCTTGGTGCTCTCACTACGTATTTGTATCATCTTGTTGTTGAGCATCGGCTCTGGTCGATTTTATCCCCCTATTATTTCTAGTGTGGCTCTTTTTTTGGTAATCACGTCTCTCTTACCATTAATTTTTGGACCTTGTTGTAATATGTATATGCATCCTGTGCACGCAGATGCATATCAACGTACTTTTGCCGTTATTGATACTTATCATAAAATTATTAATGCCTTCGTATTCTCTCACTACAAGATGGACGATCGCGACATGTCGTATTTGGCAAGGACTGTAAAATGACGCA